TATCACAAGGGATCGGTCTCAGTTCGAAGTGCTTTAAAAATTGATATCTCAAAGGCATTTGATTCAGTTCAATGGCCATTTATCATCAATTCTCTTACTGCGATGGATTTCCCTTCACAATTTATTCATTGGATCAGACTCTGTATCAGTACAACTTCTTTTTCAGTGCAGATTAATGGAGAATTAGCTGGATTTTTTCGCAGTGAAAGAGGATTGAGGCAAGGATGCTCTCTCTCGCCTTATTTATTCGTCATCTGTATGAATGTCCTCTCGAAAAAGATTGATAAGGCTGCAAATTGGATATCATCCTCGGTGTCAAAACATTCGTCTAACCCACTTGTGTTTCGCAGAGGATATTATGGTTTTTACCGATGGTAGGAAAAGATCCATAGAAGGAATCCTAAGAGTTTTCGATGATTTTGCGTGCTCCTCAGGCCTCAAAATAAGTCTTGAGAAATCGACGATCTATATGGCAGGTGTCTCTCCTCAAGATCGAGCTTCCATCCTTGCTGAATTCCCATTCGCTGCAGGACAACTTCCAGTGCGTTATTTGGGATTACCTCTTTTAACAAAGCACATGACAAGCAGATGATTATTCTCCTCTCCTGGAACGGATGAAATCAGCAATCGGCTCTTGGACGGTTCGACATCTTTCGTACGCGGGACGGCTCCAATTGATTAAATCAGTTCTTCTGAGTATTGCAAATTTTTGGCTAGCGGCATTCAGGCTTCCAAGCGAGTGTATTCGGGAAATGGAAAGACTTTGTTCGGCATATCTCTGGTCAAGACCTGATTTGAGTAATAAGAAAGCCAAAATAGCTTGGAGCACTGTAACAAGTAAACGATGCGAAGGTGGTTTAGGGCTCCGACCTCTGAAAGAATCAAATGTAATCTCAGGTTTGAAGCTCATTTGGAGAATTGTTTCAGCTAAAGATTCTTTGTGGGTTAACTGGGTTCACATATATCTTATTGGAAAAGATTCTTTTTGGTCGCTGAAAGAGAGGACTCAGGCAGGATCCTGGATGTGGAAGAAATTATTGAAGCTCAGACTTTCCATCGGATTGAAATTCACAGTGGAAAAAGTACATCTTTCTGGTTTGATCACTGGTCTTCATATGGCAGACTGATTGAAGTTCTCGGTTTTCACAGTACTATCCCTCTTGGAATTAATGTACAAGCTACGAGAGGAAGAGTGAATCCTGGAGAGGAGGATATTGCTCTTTGGAGATGCAAAGGGGATAAGTTTAAGAGGAAGTTGAGATCAAAAGATACATGGTATCTAATTCGCGAGGACCAATTACGCTGTGGTTGGGAGGAGGCCGTATGGTTCAAGCACAGTACTCCAAAATATTCTTTTTTTGCCACTGGATTGTTATGCATTTCAGCATCTCCACTGGTGACAAAATGCTTCGGTGGAATTCAAACATTGACGCCTCATGTGTATTCTGTCAACACCCGCTGGAAACAGTGGAACATCTATTCTTCAGCTGTAACTATTCTGCACAGATATGGAAACAGCTGATGAATGGAATCCTAAAGCATAAGTACACAACGGTCTGGAATGAGGTGATGAGGTTGGCTAAGGACAATTCGCAGGAGCAGATTCCCCTATTCATCTTGAGGTATACTCTGCAAGCTACTATTTATGCAGTGTGGAGAGAGAGGAATGCAAGAAGACATGGTGAAGCTCCATCTCCATTCATGAGACTGGTGAAGCTCATCGATAGGCAAATTCGTAACCGTTTAAGCACAATACGACTGCTTGACAATCAAGCTTATGAGGGAGGCCTCAGATTTTGGTTTTCAACAAGAGAATAGAGCAAAAACTTTGTAAACGTTTAGAATTTTCTTTCAAAAACTGAAGCACTAGATGTAAAGCTGATTTGATTGAATAAATTTTACATTCAATTCAAAAAAAAAAAAAAAAAAAAGAGATGGAAACAAAAAAATAAGTAGAGAAGCAAAACTGAATTAAAAAAAAAAAAGGTTTTATTTCCATCGAAACAAACCTGAGACTCTATTAAACATCTGGTTGGGCTTTTATTGGTTGTGAACCAAAGCTTGGCACAATAGGTGTGTGGAAATTAGGTTAAGGCGATTACCTAAACACACGATTTGGATCTTGTTCAATTCTCGACGATATTAATTGTTTACGAGCTCAATCCATGCAAACATTCTTAAGCAAACACACGGATTACTTATATTAGTCATTAATATGTCTACTGAGTAAAAGTGAAATATAATTGGTTTTCAATATGATTGGTAAATTCTTCTTCTTTACACCGAAAAAGACTTTAGAATCTGATTGGACATTTCACTAACCCGGAAATGTAATTATTAAGACAACGTACGGCACTAAATTCTTTGACTGTAAACGAATTTGGAGTCAAAACAATTAGTTCATTTAAACACAATCTTAAATCTAATTATGTGGGACAAAGCTATCCACGTAAGTTGTAAAGCGTGAAAGAATCATGATTTGTTTAATTGGGTAAATTGTAGACTAGTCCGTCTAGCGACTAGCGTAGAGAGATTTTGAGTCTAGAATCTTGGAAATTTAATTACTAGAAAAATCATGTAATTGCAAATCTTTTAATGTTCAACTTCTTCTGTGAAGGGCGGCGTGGATCATGGACTTTTTTTTTTTATATATTCACTGTTTTATTCAATCTTCTATTTTTCTACCATTTTCCGAACATATATGAACATATATGAACACTTCAGTTCACGCGCGCCTATGAACTAGTCTTGTACGGATTTTATGTTGACACAAACGGTTACTATTTGTATTTTAGCATGAAAACTTTGATTTAAAGCGATTTTACACCCCTTTTTTTCCTTATGAAAATACATTTCAGCCTTTTAGATAATTAGATGTCAAAATTCATGTGATTCACACGCAAGAAAATGGTTCGGTTAGTGGAGAGAAATTGAACCAAGCTCATACAAATTAAAGTTTGTAATTAAGAGGCGTTCTAAACAATGAAATGGTATTAACGACTACTGCAAGGAATTAGATATCATAAAGTTATACTCTCTCAGTTTTATAAAAAATGTCATTCTAACATTTTTCACACAAATTAAAAGAACAAAATAAAAATTCTATTATACTCTTTATTAATACACTAAATATTTTTTTTTAAATTAATACACTATAACAATAAGTGTAAAACTGAATTTTTATTCAAAAATATGTATTAAATATATAAAACGACATTTTATGAAATAAAAATAAAACCTTAAAACGATATTATTTGTGAAACATAGAGAGTATAAAATAGAATGCTTAATTATTGGATTTTGATTTGTTTTCAAGTACATGAATTAAGCTCTCACGAAAACAAACCAAATTTATTGAGTAATTGTGAAAAACTCATAGCTTATAGTTTGGTGTCAAAGTAAACAATTTTCTTAAGATATAGTAAAACCGTTTTAAACTCCAATAGCACAAAGCAAATCTTTTGTTAGAAAAATTTGAGAAAATATATTGTGTTACTTATTCAGATCTTACTTAGAATTTTTCTTTTTAAGAATTCAGTTTATGAACTAAAGTATGAACTCAGAAAAACTGTTTGCGGTCATTAGAAATTAGAATTCCACACCTAAAACATCGAAGATAACACGTAATGACGTAACGTAGTTTTCATGCGTGATGTTGAATGAAGATAATGAATAATCTTTCGATCGACGAACAAAAGGTGGCAAATGGGAGACTGAGATACACGCGCGTGAAAGTGAGAGTGGGATAAAGAAGGAAGCCTTGTTAATAGTAAAACACTCTAGAGCGTCTGACTCACGACTATTTGCTGATCGTCGTTTGGTTTGGTATGCGATGACGTTCCCATGACTCATCGCAACTTGCCGTACCAAAAGTCTTGCCGTACTTTCCTCTTTAATTACCATAATATCCATTTCCTAACACCTATCTTATCTTTGATTTTTTTATTATCTTGTTAAAGTTAATATATTCTAAATTATATAAACAGTTACCTGGATAATTCAATAACAAACAATTCTATATATCTATAAAAATACACAACAAACGAATCTGTCTGCACTATATTCACCATAAACATTTTTATCCTTGATATACCAGACCACAGTGAATGAGTCTACTTACATCACGTTAAAAACATTTCGTTGCTTCCATTAATCTGCTTTTCATGAAAATTAAACATCATATCTTCCATTTCAAAAACATAAGCTTTCACCCATCATATTTTTTTGACATAATATTTTATTATTTGGAACTGCAATTTATGTGTTGATGGAAAAACAAAACTAACTGATAATTTATTAATTGATTGTGTTGATAATTAGATTACGGATGATAATGATGTTTGTATGACAAACGCAGTTGTATTACTATTAACATTTTGTTGGTATCTAAGTCAGAGTTAGCTTCTTAAATTATCCTAAAATTTTTAGTCATATTGCACCGCAGTATTTTTATATTGTAAATTATATTTTTAGCAATGGAAATTTGAAGTAATCAATTGGATCTTACTTTCTCGATCTAAGTTTGAGATTTGGGATTTCTGACGATCTTACTCATTTAGAATCTACAATCTTCTATATATTAACTATAATAGTTAAGAAAACTTGAGATTGATTTTTACTCATTTAGCATAAAAAAAAGTTTTGGAAATCTTAAGTAAGTGCACTAACTCATGGCCAAATAGATTCTGTTTACATATCTGTCTCTTTGCTAAGCGGTAGAACATTTTGATATATAATAAGCCAACAAATTAATGAGTATATTATATACTCAGTTGTTTCTTCTTTTTTTTTTTGTATTTTTGTATACAATAACACGAAACTATTATTGAACGTGGAGGGTCAACGATAGTGTGTTTGTTCAGCAAGAGGAAAGGGTAAAACTAGAATTTCAACAACCCCGTAAACCCAAAAAAGTCAATGCAAAAAGCTAAGCTAAGATTTCGCTTATATAAACACGATCAAAAATCCATTATTCAACAAAGTCTTCGTTGCAACTTTTCATTTCTCAACCAAAACACACAAACAAAAAGTTTCTTTAGAAATCAAATCAAATGGAAAAGGAAAGAGAGATGGAGATGATCAACAAGATGGCAAGTTGCTTGATCCTTCTATCAAAGGCTCACCAAAACGACACCAAAAGCCGTGTTTTCGCGTGCAAGACATGCAACAAAGAGTTCCCGTCGTTCCAAGCCTTGGGAGGCCACCGAGCAAGCCACCGCAGATCGGCGGCACTTGAAGGCCACGCGCCTCCATCTCCGAAGAGAGTCAAACCGGTGAAACACGAGTGTCCCATATGCGGTGCCGAGTTCGCCGTAGGGCAAGCGTTGGGTGGTCACATGAGGAAGCATCGAACAGGAGGAGGTCGGAGTTTGGCACCGAAGCCGGTGACGATGAAGAAATCCGGTGGTGGTAATGGAAAGAGGGTTTTGTGTTTGGATTTGAACTTGACGCCATTAGAGAATGAAGATTTGAAGTTGGAGCTTGGAAGGTTGATTTTCTAATTTACATCTTTGATTTTCTTCTTCTTTTGGGGGTATACTTGTGTAGAGTAAGGTTATTTTATTTATCTAATTTTTTTTTTAGGCAGTAAGTTTTGTATGAAGAACTTTATGGTACCGTCATGTATAGATACATATATACATCTTATATCGTCGAGTTATTATATATATACATATATATATATATATTAAGAATTATTAATATATATATATATTAAGAATTATTAATATATAGGTCTGTTTCAGTACGTAGTGTGGATTCTTTTGGCTTCTCATCAATTACGTAGACGTATATATCTTGAATTTTGAAAATTAGTTTTGAACTTGGATAACAATTTTACTGTGATTCTTTTACAGAGATTGCCTCTTATAAATGAAAAAACGTTAGGTTTAGATTCTAATTAGCTAATATGAATAAGCTTCGACCAAAAAAGAAAAGCTAATATGAATAAGTTTTACTGTTTTTTTAGTAGTAAAACACCACTAGAATTATGTTCCATACTTCCATGATTATTTGGTGCTATATATTAATTTTTTTTTGGTAAACTGAGGAAATCTTGGACCGAAACCTAGACTAATATCCCCTAGTTTCAGACATCTACAATGTCCAACCAAAATAGACAAACAGTTAAACACCAATTATTTTTTCATTTAACACATTATTAGTAGCCAACCAAAATTAAAATCACAGAAAAAATAACTCAGATCTAGTCCTTCAATTCCAAATTTTTTTTTTCAAGATTAGATCCCCATGAAATGGTTGGTTCTATAAATTAATAAGAAATCTTTGTCTATAAATAGGAGTGCATATAGGACATCTTGGATCTTGGTTTTGTTATTTGTTTATAGAACATCTCGGTTTTGTTATTTTTCCATAAATAGGACATACAAAAACTTGTTATTCAAGCTACAAATGTCACTTACCAAAAATTTGCTAAAACTTTTGGTGACAACTGACAAAAAGAAAAGTCATTTACTAGAAATTTCAAAAAAAAAAAAGTTTCGTTGTCGCTATGACTTTTTGGTTTAAAAAAAAGACTGATTAGTATTTCAAAAGTTATGTCATGGTCATGAATAATCAGAATATCTACGTAAAATATAAATCTCAACTGAAATGAGTTGATGGTGACAAACATTATTAATGAGGAGCGGAAGAAATGATAAGAATAAACATGTGCTACTGTATTTTACTATTGATCATATAGTCATGTGATTTAGATAAAAGATTGATTGTTGCTAGACGTAATTTCATAATCCCTATTTTGTTGATGTGATGAGATTTATCGCTCACTTTTTGTTGCATATTGGAAAAAAGATTTTGGTAGTGTATTTTTTTTTAGAAATTTTCATAGAGAAACCAAATTTCAACGTAAGTAGTATGATATCAAGATAGCAACCATTCTAGCTAGTTATATAGGCGACGGTCCATTTGAGTGGAAAATTAAATAGATTGTTTGGAGATACATTGAGCATATGGTCGTGAGATGGAAACGTTGACGTCAACATGTTCAATCTAAAAAGTATTTAGCTCAAAGGTTTGAATTTATTCGAAGTGTTGGAGATTTTAAAATTCAAGAACGTCTATATAAAAAGGGATTCATATTGGATCCAGCAATACATTCTTTGGTTGGTTTGTTCAATAAATTTTATTTTATTTGATATATGTTAGAATGCTTTAATTATATTTATATGTATTAATGTTATTATACATTTACCTACTATAGTCTAGATCACTATAGTATGAATGGTGTATATTTACATAATTTGTATATGCTATTTAAACAATGGCTGTTTTACCTTTGGCCTAGTAATCATACAGATTTTTTGAAACAGATATATATAGTCTAATTATATATATAGTTTAATTTTTATAACATTTTCGATTTTAATCCGCAACAAAGCAAAACAAAAGCAAAAGATTCTTAAAACGCAGATCTCATATATTAAATATAAACTGCATGCATATTGTTAGTGTTGTCCATAAAAAAAAAATAGAGCGATCTAATCCTCGAAGGAACAATCCACAAAGTACAAGTGTACAACAACTATTTATTCAAATTATTAATAAGAGAATGATATTTTCCAAAAATGAGTTTCTAGTAAAGCCAAAACTGGAAAAAAAAAAAAGTTTGTCAAGATAAGACCTAATTAGAAAGTTTTGGAAACAATCGATAATGAGATATAACTATAATTTCTTGATCAAATGGTACTCCAACATAAATTTTTAAAATGAAGACTTTCAGATCTATCATTTTCACCTTAGTCACTATGAAACAATAATGGAGTCTTATGTCAGCTAAATCAATGGTTGGAAGCAAATAACTAGAATTTAGAAAATTATCTAAACTTTCGCAGTTGTCTTCTTTGCTTCAATTGTTCTTTTTCGAGGAAACATGCATCGAGTTTGGATATTCAATGCATAGAAGTAGTGCTTTGATTTGCTGGAATAATTCATCGTTTCAAACAATTTAGTGTATTCCAATATATATATAAAAACGTGTGAAATATGAACAGGATATCCGAATTATCTTATCTGGTTAACCAAACTAAAGCTAGACCTACCCATATCAAATTTTAAATAAACTACACTAAAATCAAACCAAATATAAACTTTTTTTTCTTATAGTTTAGTTCTGTTTTTTTTTTCCGGCAAATCAAAAATTTATTATAACAAATTTACAAGATACAGAAATACTACAAATATAGAAACAATACAAGAATTGTCAGAATAGTTACCAATTATTCTATAGATATCATATTCAATCTATAAAAATGAGTCATAATTATGGGTAGCGACAGATAAATTGTGTAGCCTCAGTGTCGACCCTATTCTTAAATCTTAATCTGAAGTAATTTGTAACTAACTTACTACGAATTAGCGAGAGTGATAACCATAGCCAATAGCGATAGTATGGTTATGGTGGCTTATTCCGTTGCTCATTTGTGATGACTTTGCGAAGGATTTTTGGTAGTTATGGCTATAAATTTTAACGATGGTCTTTTCCTAGAAAGTTTGTAGCAAATATAACTACAAACTTACTTACAAATTATGTGTGGTTAAGTGTATGATTTAGTGACGGCCATGCCTTTGGCTAAAGCAATGACTAAAGTCTTCTATGATAACATATGAAATTTGTTATGTCCATGTTTCCTACATTTTTTTGTTAGCTTTCATTCTTATGATGAAACTCCAAAATACTAGTAGCATTACCCCAGCTAATAGAATTAATTGAACTATTGTTGAAGATAATTCTAAAACTCCATAAATTATCTCTGAACCAAAAGCAAACCATATACCGAACTATCTATTTTTAAATAAAATAAATAAACGGTAATATCAATTTCTTTTTATTCTTCAATTCGACAATTTCTTAATTCTTCTAGCAATTTTCAAGTGGTGTAACAGCTCCATTGAGGGATTAGAGCACCTCCAATGGTGTATCATGAGGGGTTCATAGGCTGGGTTCATCCATTATTTGGATTTAAAAAAAAATTAAAAAACCCATTTTCTTGATGAACCAGTTTTTAGGGAAGGATTTTTAGAACCCAATTTTGATGGGGTTCATCAACGACGTGGCAGTTTTCTATTGGTAAGAATTTTTTTTTTCTGCAACAATTTTTCTCTTCCCCCGAAACAGTGAACCTCTTGGAGAGAATCACCATTGGAGAAGAAAATTTGATGGGTTCTAAATTTTTCATTCTTCAAAATTAAATGAATAAAAAATTGGAGATGAACCCAAGAATTCACCATTTGAAGTTGCTCTTATAAGAGGATGTGGGCACAGAAACATATGACTGAGTTTTGAAAATAAATCAAAAGAAGCCCAATTATTAACATACATGTGCTTAGCTAACAACCTGAGCATTGGGATTTATAGACGACGTGTTTGAATGTTATTGGTCGCAAATTATTATTATTTTATTTCTATAAACCTCTAAATGGGTTCACTAATGAACCCTCATTAGATCATAGGTTCATCACTGTTTAAATATTTTAGAAATATTAATAAAAGAATATTAACATCCCCAAACACAGTATGACCGCTGGAGATGCTCAAACATTTTATTCTTCCATTTTACTTTTTTCCACTCCTCTACAATTCGGCTAATTGGGCCTGACACCATTCATAGCCCATGTTTACTGAGTTTGCCTCGAGGTCATTTAAATAAAGCCCGAAAAGTAAAAAGGCGCTGGTCCACGTCATCAATCCGATGTTTTCTCGGCGGAGAAGAAAAACACTTATCTACCGTCCCTCTCAGCCGTCGATCTAGATATTTAATTTCATCTATCGAACGGACACAAACATCCAACGTCATCGATCCTCGTTAATAACTCTTATCCAATGAAATGTGTTAGTTCCTCCTTCTTTATATCTCCAGACGCTTCAAGACCTTTCTTCATAGCAAACCTAAATTTTCATTTCAGCCTTTTCGTTTTCCCGAGTAAATCAGCGAGAGAGAGAGAAATTTCACGATGGCACCAAAGGCAGGAAAGAAACCAGCAGAGAAGAAACCCGCCGCCGCCGCAGAGAAACCAACGGAGGAGGAGAAGGTAGCCGAGAAAGCTCCGGCGGAGAAGAAGCCCAAGGCCGGGAAAAAGCTACCGAAAGAAGCCGGCGGCGCAACGGACAAGAAGAAGAAGCGGACGAAGAAAAGCACAGAGACTTACAAGATCTACATCTTCAAGGTGCTGAAGCAAGTCCACCCAGATATCGGGATCTCGAGCAAAGCCATGGGGATCATGAACAGCTTCATCAACGATATCTTCGAGAAGCTTGCTCAGGAAGCGTCTAAACTCGCGAGGTACAATAAGAAACCGACGATCACTTCCCGCGAGATCCAGACTGCTGTTAGGCTTGTTCTTCCTGGTGAGCTTGCTAAGCACGCCGTCTCTGAAGGAACTAAGGCTGTGACTAAGTTTACTAGCTCTTGAATCGAGATTTCGTTTTTAGGGTTTATGAAATTTCTGGTTTTTTTTAGTACTTAGATCTGTGCTTTTGTTTTTCTGTTATGGGTGGGTTTAGTTTGGAATCTGATGGATTGATGGTTTTTCTAGCTTTTATGATTTGGTTTGTAATTGTCGAAGAATATATGGTATTAAAATCGTCTCTTTTGAAGTAGATTCTGAAAACTTTATTTCAATATTTTGTTTATCTGGTTTGGCCAAAGTTTGATTTCATGTATGCTTCTTGAAATTACGGATTTCGCTGATAATTTATGGTTGATTGTTGTTCGATTCATCTATATGAAAATGCCTGCGTCTTCCGGTGAGATCGGAGAAGCGGAAAGCGAAAGATTGTTAAGAGAAAACGAGATGAAGTTGCTCGTTGATTACCATAGATTATCTCATTGATTGAAATTAAACTTGTACAATTGGGGGTTTATTTACATTCATTGACCAGGCCTAAACCGGAGCCTCAGCCTGAAATAACCGATGTTATTTACACTGGTTTATATGATTCCAGTTCACAAACTCTGTATAGACACTATACATATCAATATCCTCCCTTAAGTATAAGCTTACACATCTCATATTCAAATTGTACCTCAGTTCCCAGATCAAATGAACAATAGATGAGAAGAATCTTGAAATCAAGAATCATAATCTCTTAGAATCACCGAATCATACGTACATTAAAAAGCTGAAATCATAAAATAGAGAACCATTACAAAGAAGATGACAAGAAAATATACAAAATTAATTATATAAAATGAACACACTTAAATAACAAAATCAACTAAAGAATAAGAAAACAGTCAAAGAGAGAGAGAGAGAGAAAAAGAGATTGTGAATATTCGTAAAACCTCAATGCCACTATCTACATATGTTGATAATTGTGTTCGTGTGAACGTTTGTTTGGAATTTATGATTTTGAGGGTTTTGTGTATGTTTGGATTTATGATTTTTGGTGTGCGCGTGATTTTGGCGTTTATGCAGCTTTGTACTCTAAAAGATGCGTTTGTATAAGGTTTGTTTGGGGATATGATTGTGGCGTTTCGTATTTCGTGTGTGCGATATGGCGTGAGCAACGTTTTGTTTGAGATTCTGTTTTTTGTGTTGTACGTTTGTGTAATTTCTGTGTGGGATTATGATTTTGGTGTTTTGTAGTTTATTTTGTCTTTTGTGTGATATATGCTTTAGTTACTAATGGTGATAGCTTCGCCTCCTTTCCTAAGGGTGTGAACAACATTGTTCGGTGATGTTGTGAGGCTAGACGTCTCTGAGCCCTACCAAAAGCCAAAATCAAAAGATGTAACAAAGTCAAGAAACTGGAGTCCTTCCACGGTTTCCTTAAAGAAAAATCGAGATAAACATACCTGGAATTTCGATTCTTCAGCGAGTATCTCCGCTATGTTGGTCGAAGAATCCTTGTCTGTCTTAAAAAACCATCTTTGTCTTGGTTAAAATAGCCACATACATCATCTTCAAGAATCACAAACAAACAGAGTGAACATTATTAAGAGTAGCTATCTTGTGTGAGTATCAAAAAGAAAAAGTTTCTTTGGTTTAAACATTCACAAGAATGAGGTCGAAAGCTAACCTGCTTGCTTTAGAAGACTGTCTTAAACCAGCTGTCAAACAAAGAAAGAGATGGTTGAGAGAATCTGATGATTAATTGCCATTGTATTCGCCAGAAGTTCTCTGCACTGTACTTATGGTTTGTGAATTCTTTGAAGCTACTGTGGCAACGCATAAAAGAGCCTTTCTCAGAGTTTTTTTTTTTTTTTTAAGATATAAACATGACATAAACAGAGAAAGATGAAAAATAGTTTCTTACAGTCTTTTCCATCAGGCTTTACACTTGCAGCTGCTGCAAGTTAGAAATGATCAGGAAGAACAAACCGCACTGTCAGATTATAAAGTCCTCTGTGTCAGAAGGATTAGTTACCATTTTCTTCATCATTCTTTATCTCTGCAAGGCCTCTTGTCGCGGCTGAAATATGGAATATGAACAAGAATACTTAAGGAAACTCTTTCTATTACATTTAAATTTGGATTCATCTAATTAACAAGACTTATTGCACCAAGAATGGTTCAAGTTTTCTTCAAACTCAGAGAGAGGAATACTGTATGTTGAAGTACCTTCAAACTCGCGTTCAATAGCATCACGCATACTTTTTCTCCTTGAAGCTGTAACAAGACATGGAAAAACAATCTGATTCAGAATACGTTAGAAACAAAAGTGGAACACAAAAAGGTCTAAGGGAAAGAATTTTTACAGTGATCATCATCATCCTTGCCTTCGGTTGAATCACTAGCCTTGAACTCTTCAAGACCTTTTATAGCAGCTGCAAGTAACAACATAAAACAAAATAAAACTTATCTACTTTATCTGTTTTAATTGAATTACATTAATTCAGCTTAGAAGTTCAATAAAAGTAACCTTCAAACTCGCGTTCGATAGCTTCAAGCATGCAATTTCTCTTTGCTTCTGTTAGAAAACATAAAACCATTCTTCAGAATACTATGGAAGATGCTAAGTTATAAGAAAAAAAAAACAGAGAAGACAAGTTCTTACGTTCTGCACTGTCATTTTCTTCAGTGGAATCTTGAATCTTTAGTTGCTTAAGATACTTGTAGCAGCTGCAAATTGATAAAATAGAAGAAATGTTGAAGATTTGATATTGGAATCATAGGAACTAATTAACAGATATATTACTACGTTGAAAGTACCTTCAAATTCTCGTTCAATCTCATCCAACATACTTTGTCCATTTGCAGCTGAAAAGACATGTATGAGAACAACACTGCAAGTAAGGTAAAGGGACGAAGAAAACATTGAATGGCAAGGCTTTGTAACATTGCCCTCCATCATCTTTGTTCTCGGCGAGATCATCAAGTTGTTTAAGACTATCGGTAACGGCTGCAAGAGAGGAAAAACAAAACTCTTACAACTTCTTGAACCAAGAAAGAGTTAAAGATTCTTTCTACATATGATGATTGGTATGTTAAATGACCTTCAAACTCGCGCTCGATTGCATCTAGCATACTTTGTCTCCTCGAAGCTGTAAATAAGACACAACATAGATCTATCTCAGAAAACTGAATAAGGGACAAAAAAAACTATCAAAGTAGAGATAACAATTTCTTACCTTGTTCTTTATCATCATCTTCGACAGTGAAAGCATTAGATCTTTAGCTGTTTAAGACAACTCGTAGCAGCTGCAAGTAGAAGATGAAACATAATCTTTAATTTAAAAGAAGTCTCAGAACAAAGAATGTGAACCAATTAGGACAGATATTGAGTATGTCAAGGTACCTTTAAACTCGCGTTCGATCTCATCTACCATATTCTTTCTCTTTGCAGCTATAAGTCTATAACAAAACAAAGAGATCTATGAGTCCTGTAATTGAGATTAAGGCCATTAAGGAATCATGAAAAAAGAGGGAAAGCAAGTATTACAGTTTGATTCATCATCTGTGCTTGAGGTGGAATGCCTTAGTTCTTCAAGACCTTTTGTAGCTTCTGTAAACAGAGGAAAACTCAGAGTCTACGATGGGTTTGTAAGAATTACCTAATTAAAGACGAGATACATGGTTATATTTATATTTTAAGATACCTTCAAACTCTCTTCCGATCTCTTCCAACATTTTCTGTCGCCGTGCAGCTATAACAAACACACAAAATCAGACTCAATATACTATAAATAAAAACAAGGTATCACACAAAGTAACATTGCGAGAGTTTCTTACCTTGTTCTTTATCATCTTCGACAGTGAAAGCATTAATCTTTAGCTGTTTAAGACCACTCGTAGCAGCTGCAAGTAGAAGATGAAGCATAATCTTTAATATAAGAAGTCTCACAACAAAGAACGTGAACCAATTAGGACAGATATTGAGTATGCCAAGGTACCTTTAGACTCGCGTTCGATCTCATCTAGAATATTCTTTTTCTTTGCAGCTATAAGTGTATAACAAAACAATGAGATCTATGAGTCCTGTAATTGATATTAAGGCCATAAAGGAATCATGAAAACAGAGGGAAAGCAAGTATAACAGTTTGATTCATCATCTGTGCTTGAGGTGGAATGCCTTAGTTCTTCAAGACCTTTTGTAGCTTCTGCAAACAGAGGCAAACTCAGACTCTACGTTGGTTTTGTAAGAATACCTAATTAATGACGAGATACATGGTTCTATATATATACCTTCAAACTCTATTTCGATCTCTTCCAACATCTTCTGTCTCCGTGCAGCTATAACAAACACACAAAATCAGACTCAATGATACTGTAAATAAACAAGGCATCAAACAAAGTAACATTGAGAGTGTATTTTTACCGTGCTCTTCATCATTGACTCGGGTTGAATGTCAGCCTTTAGTTGTTCAAGACCTTTTGTAGCACCTTCAAGTAGCAAATGAAACAGAGGTCACAAACTAATTATTATTAGATAACGTTTTTCGGGTATCAAGTACTTAATTAAACAGGTATCGAGTATATCAATATACCTTCAAAATCACGTTCAGTCTCGTCCAGCATGCTTTGTCTCATTGCAGCTGTAACAAACAAAACAAGAAAGGAAAAAAAAACAGAAAACTTGGACTCAGAATGTCGAAGGATAACAAAATGTGATTGCAACAAGAACTAGAGGAAGAATGTGTTTCTTACATTGTTCATCATCGTTTCCTTGGGTGGAATCATTAATCTTGAATTGTTCAAATCCAGCTGCAGCAGCTGCAAGTAATTATGACATAAAAAAAGAAGACAAGAACCAAATGTCAGTAAGAATTTATCAACAAAAGTGGTATAATTCAAGAACCAATGTGGAAACAGCGAAAGGTACCTTCAAACTCGCGTTCAATGTCTTCCAACATTTTCTGTCTCCTAGCAGCTGAAACAAATCTCTTAGCAAAAGGGATCAGATCAAACACATAAAACTTATGTAACAATGACTATGGATAGAGAATACAGAGTCGATAGTTTTCACACTCACCTGAAATGAACAAAAATGGAGAGTAAAAATCAACTCCATATCCACCACGTTTCACAGCTTTAATCCGGAAACTACTCTAGCAGAGTCTTGAGCTGCATCACTACAACAATACAAGTTGGACAGGTAAGAAATATCAAGATTGATAAACATTACTCAGAGAAACCAAAGCCTATGATCAATAAAGCACACGTAGTACACAAGTTTCACCAAATTAACAAACGCAAGAGCTATCAGAGAGTGTTGATTCACCGCAACTAGGCTTTCTTTGTACCATGTCTGTTACTCGTGAGGCGTTACCTGAAATGGAGACATCTGGACATTCTAAGTAAACTAATACCAACATTGGTCTATCCTCCATATGCAAGGTTGAGTAGATGCAACTTATCCAGCTTCTTTAAGGGACTGCAAAATAATATAGACAAAGAGTAGTCAAAAACCTGGAGAAATAACCATAAAGGCATGAAACGGGAAGAGTGTGGTTTTTGTGTTTCACTGTTTCGTGTATATTTTGATGTGCTATTAAAGAGTTTTGTGTAGCGTTTGGGTTGAGATTATTATTTTGTTGTAAAAAATTTGTGTGTCTAGTTTTGTTTGGTATTTAGTTTTGTGTGAAATGTTGGTGTAATATGTAGTTTGAGATAATGATTTTCGTATACTACATTTTTTCTATGTTATATGTTTGTGTTATTAATGATGTTCGTGGAATGTTTTGCAATTTTTTTGTTAAACATTTGTGATGCTGAGAAAATTGTAAATTAATAGAGAAGACTTAGCTTATTTGAAGTTCCAAAATCCAAAATCTCTTCCAGTGAAATCCAAATTTGAACCTGAAAAACACAAGAAACGACACCAATTTTATATCATTTACGCAATCTGAGTTCATTTATAGATAAAATTCATACATACTAATGACCAAATAAACAATTGAGTAACCAAATGAAAACAAACACAAATTACGGAATAATCAAGATCAAATCACATAACCACGTTCTAGTGAGAAGATAAAACACCAAGAGCATCAAAATTAAGCCAATTTCTGATTCCGTGATTCAATTGTGGAATTCCTTCGCAACACAAACCCCCAAACAAAACTATCCCTAAACGGCGCCGTTCATCTCTCGTCACGACTAAGTGAAAACCCTAACTTTCACCCAAAATCTCCGATCACAACGTCACGAAGGAGTCGGTTATCGGTACCATTTCTATCTCTCGAAGCAAATCAAAAACCCTAAGCGCCTGTAACTGTTACCTTCTCTTCGTAGAGTCTCTGTTTTCGCGAACAAGATCGGAGCAGAAATGAAGATACGCCATGAAAACGTCTTCCTCACGAAAAAGATAATTACACCATTAACGACGAAGCGATTCTTAATCGCATCACATTTGTCACTTAAGATATCAGAGTAGAAGAGAAAGACGATGATCGTGCGATGCGAAGAAAGGAGGAGAGAGAGAGAGAGAGAGAGAGAGAGAGAGAGAGAGAGATGTTGGGTTTATCGGATTCAAATTTCAAATATATATTCAACTAATCGCGTTTTGAATTCCTTAACTATAGCCGTTATCTATTTAATTAACTAAATACTCCAACTAATTGGCCCATGATGAAACCCTAAGTATTTCATGTAAAAAAGCCCAAAACACTATCTTCTCTGTAACAATACAAACACACGTAATTAGCTGCTTTTCTGTATGTTTATTTGTTTATACATTTGATAAATCTTTATAATGAAATAAGATATTAGAGGTTAAAAATAATAATTAGCTCTCAGTTCAAACAGATATTAATTTTTTTTTTAAAAAAAATTGATTTTGAACCGAAATCGAACCAAAAGACTCCTGTCCGAAAAACTGAAATGATTTTGCTTTTCTTACATGCAGCAAACCAAATCAAACTGAACAAAATCCAAAAAAAAAACAAACGGAAACTTAAAGAAAAAAGAATAGAATTGAATGGAACCGAAATTGATCTGAAATTGATTATTGGGTATAATTAATCTCACCGGTTGATAATAAACACATCACTAACTTGCGGTTACTAATTAGTGCATCACTAACTTCACTTGTGTTTATTACTAGCCACATACATTTTTGATTTAGTCAAAGCCACAAACTTTACATATAAATAAACAATTAATAACTGAACCTACTTGTTACTCTCACCATCATTGTAAAAATCTCATGACTCGCACACAATTCTCAACCCTTCATTGTCCTTTCCTCTATCATTACATCTTCAAAAATTGAAACTAGCTTAGTTTTGTGGTGGACATTTCTCTGTCGTTCATTAGTTAGGTGTTAATCAATAAAACTCCCTCACTACACCAATCCTAAATCAAAAACAGATTTTATTATTTTAAGTTTTAAACAAATCAGAGGGCAAAACCGTAATTTTACCATAAGTTCGCTAAAACGTGCAAGCGTCCTCTCTCCCACTCTTCTTCCTCACACGCAGAAACCGCATCCTTTTTTTTCTTTCCACTAAACACTATTTTGGTTCATTTCTCGTTCAGATTTTTGATGTGCAAGCGTCGTCGATGGAGCCAATTCTTCGGAAAATCTCCGCGCCTTGGCCGATGCTCGTTCAAGCCGCCACGTGGACGATTCTCCTGATGTTGACGGTGGCTTTTGCGTCTTTTGCTCCGGAGATGGCGTTTGTGTCTACATTGTCATCTCCGTCAAAACCGTGCGGAGGAGGAGGAGATGGTTTCGTGAGGATTCCGGTGGATTCGCCGGGGGAGATGGTGTGCGTGCCGTCTCGAATGGTGAAGCGATCATCTTTCGATCTTCTTGTTCCGACGATTTTCGCGGCTGTTATGGTCGTTGCGTCTGCTTCTCTAATCCGATCGTGTGTTTGAATCGAAAACGACGTAGATATATGAAACGCTGTTAAACATTTCGTAAATCGTATTTACATATATATTAATCCGTTGAGTAAACAACAAGGGTCCTTAGCTCAGTGGTAGAGCAATTGACTGCAGATCAATAGGTCACCGGTTCGAATCCGGTAGGGCCCTTTCTTTTTCCTTTTTCGTATTTTAGTTAACTTGTTATACTGATCGTTGATTTTCTAATCTGACGGTTAATGCATCAATCCACATTTGTCATGGATTGATGACATGGCATACGAGTAAATTGGCCGCCCTGGTTTGCCGCCGAACAAAAACGTATTGAGATTTTCATATTCAATTCAAATACATTTTGACGATGTTTTGTAGAGCCACAAACTTTACAAAAAAGTATAGAGATTTTCATATTCAATTCAAATACATTAAAATTCATGTTTTAGCCAATCAAACTTGTAAGGTCATCACAAATTTGTCTTTAAACTCACGCCAATACCAAAGATAATTCATCATCTGGTATCAAATTAAGCAAATCAAATGAGAAAGCACATCTTCACAAAATTTTAGTGCACGATACAACCAATAACTTCACAAATTAATGAGTCTGGTATCAAAACTGAAACACAGATTTGCTCAAGCTCAAGCAAATTGATGGATTAAAGCTCAAATTGATTCAACATTTCGGATTCAAGCTCAAAATGATTCAACATTTCGGATTTAAGCTCAAAATAATTCAACATTTCGGATTCAAGCTCAAAGTGATTTAATATCTCGGATTCAATCCTTGGTCCTCAAATGCATTTTTGATATTGCTGGATTTTGAGACTTTCAATTTTATTCGTGATAACGAAAAATCTCAAAGAGAAATAGAACTATAATTAACCAAAAGAGAGATTCGTTACAGTAGCGCAATAACCCAAACCCTAATTACAAACCAACACATACGGAAAAAGTAAACCTAAATCCCTAAAAACTGAAAACAACCCTCCCCATTTTTCCAAATTTCTTGACCGCAAGACTTAATAAGCAACAACAACACAACCCAGGAAAATAAAAATCAAAAGCAAAAGTCTAAAAACTCGATCTTAACCACCGAATCCATAGAGAGTGCGTCCTTGCCTCTTCAAAGCGTAAACAACATCCATCGCAGTCACCGTCTTCCTCCTCGCGTGCTCAGTGTAAGTCACGGCGTCTCTGATGACATTCTCGAGAAAGATCTTCAACACTCCTCTGGTTTCTTCGTAGATCAAACCGCTGATTCGCTTCACGCCTCCTCTTCGAGCAAGACGACGAATCGCAGGCTTCGTGATTCCTTGGATGTTGTCTCTTAGAACCTTCCTGTGTCTCTTCGCTCCTCCTTTTCCCAATCCCTTTCCTCCCTTTCCTCTTCCTGACATTTTCCCCTGACAAGTTTTAAGATTTTCTCGCGAATCGAAAGTGAGAAGAATTAGATGACTGGAATGTGTATGACTCAGATGATGGATTGAGATTTATAAAGAAGACGACTATCTCAGAAAATAAATCATGGCCGTTCGTTTCATTTTTTTATCGTACGGTAATGATAGCGATCCGGGTGAATGTATAACACGAAATATAGATCGTTGATTACCGATAAATCGACGGCGGTAAATGGCTTTTTAAGTTGATCAAAGGATTGTGCTTTTTTGGTACCTTCTTCTCTTTTTCATTTGTTGTAGTGTTTTGGTTTGGAGCATTTAGAGTTAACCGGGCCGGTTAAGGATGTGTTTATTATCTCGAACCGAAAACAGAGTCCGTTATAAAGGTCGTTGAGCTCAAAGCTCTTGTGTATCTTCTTCTTCTTTCTTCATTCTCTCTCTCTCTGCTCTTTTTTTCTCTTCTGTAACTTAAAGACTCCATTGATGATACAGTCAAAGGAAAAGATCAATAAATGTCAAATAAGCTCAAAGCATTTTCGTTTACTCATTACAAAATCCAAAGTAGTAAAACATCACTCTCTAAAATGTTCCTCGTTAGGACGCTTATTACCAACAAACTCAAAATGCAAGAAAAGAAAGAATGATAAAAACACACACAATCACATAAAATTCAAAAAAAAAAAAAAAAATTTGTTCCCTCTTCTTTGATTCTTGAAATAAGTTGTCTCACTTCTTGAGAACTCCAAGCCTGAGACGAAAATCTTCTTCCATAAGAGGAAGCCCTTCACGTAGCTTAACTTTTGGTTCCCAACCAAGAACTTGTTTAGCTTTGCTTATGTCTGGTTTCCTCTGTCTCGGATCATCCGGTGTGTTCTCCACCATCTTTATCTCCACGTCCGGTTTTATAAGCTGCATCATCAATTTCTCATTATATATTTGTTTACAAACTATAATAATCACATTTATATGAAATAAAATAACAAACAAAGAAAATGCTAAAAACCTCTTTAACCGTCTCGGCGAGTTCAACCATAGTAAATTCGCCTGGATTGCCTATATTAATTGGTCCGGTTTGGTCTCCTTCCATTAGACGCATTAGACCATCCACCTACAAAACCAAAGTTGGACTATGTATATCATTCATTTTGCTAAATGCATTATTTCATTTCTCTATTTTTGTTTATGTTCATGCGATTATGAGATTACATAATGTTACTAATCAAAGAAAAATGAGTTGTTATATAGAATACAGATACATACCATGTCTGAAACATAACAGAAACTGCGGGTTTGTGTTCCCGGTTTCTGAACAGTCAAAGCTTCTCCCCTACAAAACCGGAAAGGAGTTTATCATACAAAGACTCTTATGATTAGTCAAAGATTCGATTCGACTAAAAAATGACAAATTCAAGAACTTGATTGATATTTCACCTGAGAGCCTGAGCAATGAAGTTGCTTACGACACGACCATCATCAATATTCATACGAGGACCATATGTGTTGAATATCCTCGCTATGCGTATTTCTATAACGACCATGTAATAATAATAACTAATTTAGGTAACAAATCAAATGTAAGCCAATGTATTCAAAGAGATATAAAATGACGGATTGAATTACCAATCCCATGTTGCCTATGGTAATCAAACATTAGAGTCTCTGCAACACGTTTTCCTTCATCGTAACAGCTTCTAACACCTTATAAATGCGCAGCATCAAATTCTCAATTCCGTTAGTTCATCAATCACTAGCTGAGAGATTATCACAGTTATCAATTGTTATAAAATGAAATGTCTTACCGGTAGGGTTTACATTTCCCCAATAGCTCTCTGTTTGAGGGTGAACAAGAGGATCACCATACACTTCAGATGTGGAAGTAAGCAAAATTCTTGCTCCGACTCGCTTAGCTAGTCCTAGCATGTTAAGTGTGCCAATCACATTGGTTTTTATCGTCTGCCATTAGATAAAAAAACAATGATCTCATAAACAATATGACCAATGTATAAGGAAATTTAACAACCGTTAAATATGAGTTTATTTTTCCGACTTAAACTAATTGGCAATAAATGAATTATATTGACTGACAAATTATTTGACAAATTATTCAACTACGGATATTGGACTACTACTAGCACAAACCTTAACGGGATTGTATTTATAGAATATTGGAGATGCCGGACATGCTAAATGGTAGATTTGATCAACCTCGACCATAAGAGGTTCGGTCACATCTGAAAATCAGAACATTTAAACAAAAGCAAACTTAATTGATGCACTGTTTTTTTTTTTGGATAATTTTTCTATTAATTAAGTAGTTGATTAAGAAGAAGACTACCATGACGAATGAGCTCAAATCTTGGATGACCAATCCATTTCTTGAGATTATCTTTTGATCCTGTGAAGTAATTATCAGCGACAATTACTTCATTCTTTTCGTTTCGCATCAATCTATCAACGAGATGTGAACCAATAAATCCAGCCCCTCCTGTCACCAAAATCCTCATATTCGACTGCATATTCAAAATCATTCAAAACAATTCAATTTTATTTTATTTTCACTTATCAAAACCTTCTAGCTGAGATTGAGATCTATACAATGAGGGTTTCAACATTTTCCTTTCACTTATGACTATTGACTTAATGCATAACTACACTTAAATTAAAGGAGAATACTTTACTGGCATTAATTAAAAACTCAATTGAAAAAAAAAAATGGTTTTAGAGATTTAAAAGAAATATTTTGAGTGAAGAAAACAGAATTGACCTGAAGAAACTTGGAGTTACGCAGAGGAGAAGGAATCGGTGGTGGCTTGGTCGTCGTTCCGTTGGTCGCCATTTCTTCACTCAGATTCAATAAAATCAGAATCACAATTTGTACAACAAAAGATATATATTGACATGCATGTACATAAACAATCCACACGGATTAGAGAATTAATCAAACCTGATGATTATCAGTGAGAAGCTTGATGAAATGAAAACTGTACACAATCACTCTTCTGATCTTGATGAAACTAGAAGATCAATATAAAATCGATATTTATAAGCAGATTTAATTAAAAATATAAACGCAAAAAATGAACCCCACAAAATTTGTTAACTACGCAAAAAAAAAGAGAAGACAAACCATGGAAAATAAAAGAAAATTCCTTACCAGAAAAATGAAAGCTTCAAAAGAACGAAAAGTGAGAGGAATAATCAAATGACTGAATGGCACCAAACCAAATTTTAATTTGGTTCACCAAACGTCGCTTACGAATAAAGTTTTAATAAATCAAGAAAGAGAAAGATAGATCAAAGAAAACAAAGTTCCAATTTGATGTTTTTCTTCATCCTTGTATATGTAAATTGGATACCCAAAAAATAAAAGGAAACAAAGACTCAAATAGTTTGACTTTTCACTATTCTCAACTGAAGTCTAAGTTGAGCAAGTGAGACGCAATAAAGTAATAAATGATGGTTTAAAGGATTTTGTATGGTTTCCATTTTTTGTTGTGCTTTTGACTAATTGTATAGATCTTAAATTTCGAGATTTGAGACTCGATTAAACAAAACTTGTGGGATTATTTATAAAACACATTCAGTATAGACAGTATTATAAAATGACGAGAGTTACGTAAGATGTGTCATTCCGTGGGAATCGGACCATATTTATTGCGATAATGAAAATTACCGATCGCACCCTTTTAGTGTTTCCATAAATTTATTTGCAATTTATCGATAATTTTTTTTGGGCAAACTAAATTTTAGAAATAACTTCTTCTTCGTCAATAAAATATTGTTCAACATAAAGACAACATAACTGATATGGCCAATAATTTAGCTGGCTAAATTTGCCAAACGAAAACATAAAAGAAACAAATAAATGTAAACATTATACTTAAGTAACTAATGTCATGGTCCTCATGGAAGAACCTTTTTTAACTCGTTGGAGATGCCATTAGTGGTAAAAAGTAAAACGAAACTTTGTTGTATATTAAAGAATACATTTAGTAATCTAATGTCCGAGATTGATGCAAATAAAACCAGTGACCGCCTCAACATCCTCCGAACTTTCCATAAGCAAAAAAAAAAAAATATCCTCCTAACTTTACCGACGTTTTCCACCACTACAATTTTTCCTTACGAGTTTCAACATCTTCTTTATTGTCCTATACGTGTTACTTGCCTTTTTCCAGCCATTGTTATGACGAATAGAATATTAATATGGTCTTTAAAATGTATATTTGGGTTAGATTTGTTATGCATGTAGTTTGTTTTTGGCTTTTTTTTTTTGTCTGCGCTGAAAGATTATCTATGAAGAGGATCTTGTTTTTAGAAGAAGTATAGAGAATGTTCTCGTTATAAGTGAATCATAAAAAGACAAAACAAAACCTATTTGGAAACACAAGAAAAAGGAGTCAAAGATTTTGTATGAACAATAACTTTTCTAAGGAGTCAAAAAGTTTTGTATGAAACTACAATCTCTCTAAAGACTCTCGATTTCTATAAAGATTGAAATTTAAATTTATCCGGTTATGAATAAAAATATGAAAAACTTTCAAAATAGAATTGGTTTGGGATATGCACTTTGCTAATTGGGTGTTAGGAAAAAAATTTAAGTTTTTAACTGGGTTTGTTAACTAAAATATAGCTAAATTCTTAATTAACAAAAATCTTATAAATAAATGTAAAAATTAGCTATAGTTTAGTGGTGAGAATTCCATGTTGTGGCCGTGAAGACCTGGGTTCGAATTCCAGCAGCCACATAATCAAATTTTTTAGTGTTTTGTAATATATTTTCTCACTGAAAAAAGATCGTTTTGGTTTTTTTTCACTGAAAAAAAACCCCCAAAAAAATTCAAATAGGCCCAATATGTATACACTAGTCCAGAAAACCTTTTTTCGGTTTTTTTTGTATCTGTTTTAGTACAATTTTTGTCTTCATATATAGTTGGTATTGTTTTTTTTTTTTTTTTTTGGATGAATGTTAAATTGTATTCAAACCAGAAAAAAACAAACGTTTCTACATGTGACATGCGATCTTTAACGCTGGGTTCCTTATGGCATTACAAACGAATCAGAATTTCCTACAGCTACCAAATTGAGACCTTGTTAAATAGTTGGTCGTGAGGCCAACCAGATCTGTATTCCCTCTTCATACCGACCATCTCCGAGTAGTCGAATGGCGTTAAAACGGTTCCTGAGTCCCTTGTCAATGTCTTTGATGAGCCTTGCCGATGATGAAGGATTTCCTCCATGTCTTCTCTCGTTATGTTCTCTCCACAACAGATAGATTGCGGATTGAAACAAGTACCGGATGATAAACGTTTTTAACATGTTTTCATAGGGTGAAGAAATCAGGTTTATTAACTCTGCCCAGCTAGAAGTGAAATTGTTTCGTAATAGTCCGTGTGCTACATTTCTCCACACTTGAGTCGAGAAAGAGCATGTGAAGAACAGATGACTGCAGGTTTCCAGATGCTGATTGCAGAGAACACACGCTGTAGGGATATTTCCATTCCAGTGTGACATTCTATCTCCCGTACTTAGTCTGTTATGCAGAGCGATCCAAGTGATGAAACCATATTTGGGGTTGTGATGGGTAAACCATACTCCCTTTGCCCAAGGCACTTTCGGAGAAGCGGATCTAATCAAGGCCCGAGTTGCTCTAGTGTTGAAAGTGTTTTTATAAACATCTTCCTTTGCACACCATAGGTAGACATCCTCCATGTTTGGTTGAAAGCGAGCTTTTGCGGCCTCGATTGCGTCTTCTATTTGGTTCAGAATCAGAGTTCGATGCCGACGTCTACGATGAGTGTTAAAAACGTCGCGTAGCGTGGAGTCTTCACCAATACCCAAGTCTATGTAGCCTCGAGCTCCTATTAAAGACCGTAGATTTCCCAGGGGAGACCATCGATCATGCCAAAACAAAGCCCTCTCCCCATTTCCAAGTTCCATTTTCAAATAAGAGTCTGCTTTATTCCTTACTTGCAGGATTTGTTTCCACACCCATGAGCTCGAGTTATAGTTACAGCCCGTTATCGGAGTCAACCAAATCGAGCCCTGCCGCATTCGGTTTGAATAAATCCACTTTACCCAGAGCGAATTCCGAGCATTTAGAACTCGCCAAAAAAGCTTAAGAATCGCAACCTCATTTGCTTCTTTTAGACTTTTTAAACCCAATCCTCCTTCTTCTCTAGGTCGACATACGTCCTTCCAAGCTATCTTTGCCTTTTTTTTGTTCAAAATCGGCCCTGACCAGAGAAAAACAGAACAGATGCTTTCAATTTTTTCTATGCACTCTCTTGGTAACTTATACACCGACATCCAGAAATTCGTAAGACTTGCTATCACCGAAGACAACAACTGCAGTCGACCAGCAAAAGAGATGCTTCTAGCTGTCCAGGAAGTAACTTTACGATTTATCTTGTCTATAAGAGGAGCGTAATCAAGGGTCCTCATCTTCTTCGTCAAAAGTGGAAGGCCCAAATATCGAACCGGGAGGGTTCCGAATTCATACGCGAAACGCTGAGCGAAGCTATCCTTTATCGTTTGTGTCACACCAGCCAAATAAATTGTGGATTTTTCCTCACTTATGCGAAGTCCCGATATGCGAGCAAACTCTTCGAATACCTTATTAATACCCTCCATCGATCTCACAGTACCATCCGAGAAAATCATGAGATCGTCTGCGAAACAAAGGTGTGTAAGCTGTAAATTAGAACATTTTGGATGATATCCAAATCTCCTCTGAGTCGATACCTTATCAAGCATTCTTGACAAAACTTCCATACAGATAACAAAGAGATAGGGGGATAATGAACACCCTTGCCGTAGCCCCCGCGAACTCCCGAAATATCCAGCTAACTCTCCATTCACTTGGACAGAAAAAGAGGCTGTAGTTACACAAAGTCGAATCCAATGAATGAATGCCGATGGCATATTCAATGCCTCCAGAATGTTAAGCAAGAAACCCCATTGCACTGTATCGAAAGCTTTCGATATATCGATCTTGATCGCACATCGAGAAGAAATCGTGTTTAGATGATACCCTGAGACCAGCTCGGATGCTAAGAGAACATTCTCAATAAGGAGACGATCCTTAACAAATGCCGATTGATTCGGAGAAATGAAGCTCGGAAGCAATTTGCACAATCTATTAGCCAAGATTTTCGATATCAACTTATATATGACATTGCAACAAGCAATCGGACGGTAATCCTTCATCAATTTCGCTCCTTCTTTCTTTGGGATTAGCGCTAGAGTAGTCGAATTGACTCCCTTTGGTAGAAATCCTTTAACGAAAAAGGATTGGATTCCACTGACCAGATCCTTACCGATTATCGACCAACTCTCTTTGAAAAATTCTACCGTGTAGCCATCCGGTCCAGGTGACTTGTTCAAAGCCATCGCAGAAAGGACGCTTTTTATTTCCGCTTCAGTTACTTCTGATATCAGAGCTTGTCGATCCTCCTCAGAACAACGAAAATCTATGAGGTTACCAATATCTTCTGCAGTTGTGTCTTGTAAATCATTTGGAGTGTCATTTAAGAAAGTCTCAAAATGTTTTACAGCCTCCGTCTTTATTTCCTCCCTGTTGTGAACCAAATTCCCTTCACTGGTTTCCAGCTCTTTTATCCCATTCCTCATCTCTTTGAGTTTTACAGCTCGATGGAATACCTTTGTGTTTCGGTCGCCAACAGATAACCAGTTAATCTTTGCCTTCTGCCGTAAGTATCTTTCCTCGATATGCACCGACTGTTCCCATCGTTCATAAGCATCGTTCTCCTCTTGCTGTAGGATCGTACTTGGAGCCTGTAAGTTATTTATCTGCTTCTCACATAAAATCTCATAATTCTCCTTGACTCTTTTCGAAATGTCACCTAACATTTCCCGAGAAATCCTTCGAACTGTAGGCTTGAGGTTTAGGGTATTGTTAACCACACGGCCTTATTACAGTTTATTTTTTTTTAAAGAGAAAAAAGGGTAAACAAGAAAAAAAACCAACCTTTCATTCTTTCACACGCCATTTGTTTTATCAATGGGAAAATACATTTTACTAGTACAAAGAACGTATTTTGCAAGAGATCTCATGCAAGTTAACGTGGCTTGAAGGATTCTCCGATTGCACAACTTCTTTAACCATCTCCTCGACCTCTCTTGTCTCTTTCCCCATTTTCTCCACACAAAACCCTAATGCACTCAAACTCAACACAACCTCACTCTTGTCCACTTTCACTTCTTCTTGATCACCTTCTTCTTCCACAAGAAACATCCCATCCGCGACTCCTCTGCAGTGTTGTAGATACGTCTCCAAAATCTTCTCTGGCTCGGTAGCGGGGCCTGAGAAACTAGGATTTGGTGTCTTCCCCAACTCAATATCCCATGAGCTGTTGCCGTTCTTAGTTAGCGCCTTTTCGAGGGCATCTAGTGATTTGAGAAGAGTGATTTCTTCGAAAGATTTGGCTAAAAGACCTATGCTCTCTGTTAGACTCTTCAGATCTTTGTCTACAGCGCTCAGAATCTCTTTGCATTGTGGTGATTTTGCTTTTCCTTGCTTTCCAAGAAACCCTATGGCGTGACCGCTGAATTGTAATAGATCAGCCATTTTAGACAGTGATTTGAATAGCTTTTCGTAGCAAGAAGCGTTAAAGGGAGAAAACCAGAAATTCGGCTCTGCTTGAGCTTCTTCCGTGAACTTCTTGAGCATATTCAAATGGCTTCTCAGCTTCTTTTGGCTCTCCATTATATCAGCTTTGCTCGCTTTCGCTCCAAACAAGCTTGCACACTCGTACAAAGCATGGAAGCTTCTAGAGAGCTCAAGTTTGGCTACATTAGCAGCTCTGGTCGGCTGGAAGATAAGCTCCACCATGATCGAACAAGACAAGCCGATAAAAGTCTCTATGATTCTGTCGATCGCAAAGTCGCTTGGCTGTCCGAAATTCTTCCTTCCAAGAATCAAAACGGCTCCAATCGCTGCGGATATCCCTCCGGCTTGTCCGTACATCTGGCTCTTGTTCAAGAAGCTAGAGAAGATAAACCATGGAAGCAAAGAAAGAAACCTGACCGTCAAAAACCTCTGAAATACAAAACAACCCATCACTCCGTACACTGTCCCTATCACTGTCCCTTGTGCCTTGACATTCGCCACTTTAAACGTCGCCTCTCTCGCAGCCGCAAAGCTGATCGCTACCGGTAAACCAGCCCAATACCCGTTTGGCTTACTATACAATGAGCCTAGAAATATCGCTAAACCTAATGAAAGCGATAGCTTTACCGCCGGCATAAGCTTCTTGCTGTCCCAATCACTAATCCAAGACCTACTCTTGGATTTGGCTGAGCCCTTGTTCTCCTCCGGTTTTACTTTGTTTTCCTCCGGTTTAGCTATTGAGATGGTTTCAAGGAGCCTAAGGCAGAACAAGAAGAAATAAAATGGCAAATCTTGAGGTGTTTCCGGGATTTCTTGAAGTGTTTGGAGGCACTCGTCGGGTTTTTCTAGATCAATTTCTGGAGTTACCGTTGGTTGCGGGATGTTGTTTACTCGTTTGACTGAGAGAATCACACGTTCTTGTATGTTCTTGAGACCATCTTTTACTTCCCCCGCAAGTAAGCTAGCAGGGATAGGAGATTTGCTTGCTAAAACCATCTCCATACCTCGAAGAGCAATCTCCATGCTTTGTAGTTTCTCTCCTTTGTTATCGTTCACGTTTTGCCATCTCCATACCTTAAATGGAAGCCTCTCCCATTTCATGCTTGGCTATATATACAAGAAAATTACAATATTAGATCTTTTGCTCCTAGCTATACATTTATATATACATTTTTTCTTTTGTAAAATAAGAGAATTAAACAATTACTTGGTAGCGTTTGATGGTTTGATAAAGCTTGGATGAAATACGAGCCAACTCTCGGGCTTGTGAAACTGAAGCCATTGCTGACGTGGTATCATCGGAACAAAAAGCCTTCATGTATAGCTTCACTCTGGTCGTTACATTTTGACCAATCTCTTTGCAGCTTTGTTTCACCTGCACATATGTATTTATACTTTAAGTAAATTATGTTGCTTCTCTTTTATGCTTATAATAATATCAGAGAATCCTATACCATTGCCAATGGGTTGATTTAGTACTATACACAAAGAAGTAAACTACTCATGGTGAAAAAAAAAGTTTATGATAATTTCACTGATTATTTCAATTAGCTAGTACAAAAGGGAATCGTATTTGTCTGTGATGCGACACAGCTTGTGCGCAATATTGGGGGAAAAAAATATATATAGGACAAAATTTCAGGCGGTGGTTTATGACATAAGAAAAATAATAATGTGGTACGGAATAAAGTTAGGAACATACTTTAAAAACCAACGTCAACTTGTTTTGTGACTGTATCACCAAGTCCACTTATTAATCTATTATTATGCTCATTGATTACTTTCTTCGTTTGTTTCATCAAATTTAATTCGAACACGTACACAGGTCTACAAATTTATACAGTAATTTTTTCTTTTTGTTAAACTAATCCGCTATTCTTCTAATATGGGAAAATTTTGTAACATCTTTGTCACAGTCATGAATAATCGAAATATAGCTACTTTAAAGCAAACTCTCAATTCAGTAACGAAAATATTCTTCCCATGCAAAAATCAAAGTATAAACATCAATACGTACGTAGAAGGATACATGTGTGCACATATTCCTCTATTATTAAAGTTCGGCTATTTTATGTGTGTATATATAGAGAGAGAGATTGGTATGTACCTCGCAAGTAGCTAAGCGAGGAAGTGGGACAAGAAGTGCTAGAACGCAAGATATAACACCAAGCGCAGTGCTAGCTGCGACTTGAAGCGGGTGCATGACTGGCTCAGTCTCAGCTCCTTTTATATAAGCAATAACATATATAAGAACGATCTGGCCTAGCGCGACCCGCTTAGCCACCAAATGGGTTAAACCATTAGGGAGGACCACGACGAACGCTGCTAAACCAGCGGCTAGAGCAGTAGTTTCGGCCGTGAGACGAGCTGGTCCTATAAGCTTTAGTGTAATGATCGCGGGTCCAACGCTCTGACACGTGGCGTAAAGGGAGAGCCAGCAGCCACGTAGCGTGTCGCCGAGCGTAGCGTCGGTGATGATCAGAATGACCGTGACGTAAGAAAACGCCGGGAATGCCACGTGTCGGAGGATCCATTCGGGTCCGTAGAGTGTTGCTGCGCCAACGATAGTGCAAGCTAGAGCTGTACGGAAGGCAGAGGCTAGGCACGTGCGCCACATGGCTCGGCCTCTCTCAGTCATTTGCATTATTTATAAAGAGAGAGAGAGAGAGAGCCAAGACAAAATTCTATAAGGAAAGAAAAGCTTAGGCTTGGGAGCTAGTTCGTTGTTTTTTGTGTAAGAATCTAATGATTTGAAGAAAGTGTAACAAAAAGAAGTTTGAAGAATATGGAATAATTGAGAGAGAAGTGTGTGACGATGAAGGGGCTTATAAAGATGTATTGATTTGATGAACAGGTCAGTGCTCACTTAGGGGACGTGGAAGTACACCAAGTGGGTTCCACGTGAGAAAATTAATGGATTATTATGTAATGAAAAATTCAAACTTTATCTTTTTAATCTAGACATTTCAATTGATACGGCATAGTGGCTATATATATTAATTAATAGTCATATCTTGTGGCTGTTTATGTGTTCTTTGTCTCTACCGGTCTATACGGCTCGAAGCCTCGAACATAATAACTTGGAGTTTTGTAGTATTTGACACAAAGTGGTCTTAAATCACGTTTCAAGAAAAAAAGTAAAATTAATTGGTTTCGTGTCTAATAAAGTAGTAAGCATATATATATATATATTATCTCATGTAACAAGCAATAGCCGAAATTCTATAAATCGATTGTTTTTTTTTGTTTGAAAATATATAATATCAATTGTTATATAATGTAATAGACGAAATTATTTTATAGATTTTATTACATCTATTCAATATTTTCTCATAGGCACGCGTACCGTGTGAGTAATAATTTTACCATTAGTACATTCGTAACTCAGAGTGTAATTTGTTTTTTTAATAACTTTTGTAATGATTCAAAATTCATTACAAAGAGACATAGGAATCCATTCTACACAAAAGTACAGACTACACTACATTAACATAGAGATCGGTATTGTGAACACCAGCTTGGATTTGAACTTATACCAACATGCGTTTTTAAGCATAGGGAGTCGGTTTTATAAAAATGCATTTTCACAAATGCGAAGAGAAAGACAAATCAAAAGGTTGAAAAATGGAATGGACTGTAGGTTTTTTTTTTTTTTTGTGTAACATGGGTTTGAACTGAAGTTGGAAGGGCAGATAAAGGCAGTCGAGGACGCCAAATCATCTACTAGTTTATACTGAGTTAGTTCTTCTCTCACACGGTCACACCCTCGCACTTTAGCTTAACTGAAACTTTTAAACTAGCTAAAACTGTAAGCTAAATTACTCTCTCTCTCTCTCATCTTAATTTTCTAAACCCAAATAAGTTATACCCTAATATTCGTTTTATGCATTTAAATAGAAAATTCTTTATATATTTATATAAATAAAAACACATATGTAATAGAAATATGAAAGACTAGATGATTAACATCAACATAGAGACAGAGTAGTGTGCATGAGCACCAAAGAGTAAGTAACTAAGTATGTAAAGTTACCGTAACCATTTGACTAGACTACACAATGTACACCCGCTGCAATGTGTGTACATATGCAAATGCTTCTCTTTCTTTTTTTTTTCTTTTTCTTATCAATACATAACTTATCTCTTCTTTTTTTTTTGCTAAGATACATACATACCTTGTCGATTATATGTAATTTCAGCAATATTATTCTTTCGGACAAGTAAAATTAAAATTCACGTAAGAAAGATATCCGCCGTTTACGCATTTCTTTCATATAAATTTTTGTATGAAACCAAATTTCAAGAAAACAAGAGAAAGGTAGACATAAGCCTGAGAAAGATGTAGAAAGAAATTTCAGATTCAAACGTACAGCTGTTGTTTCACACTAAGTTGCAAACACACTTTTCGTAAAGTAATATTTGCACATTCTATGCAAATTAGATCTTTTACTTTTACATATATAAACAATTTCTTTGCTGTTAGTACATCCCGTACAGCTGTTATCTCTTGACCAGAGACCAAACCAACTCTATAGCAAGTTGAGTAGCAACAGTTACATATAACTACGAGTGCCACTAGTTTAAGCTACGAACGGTGTGATCAATTTATTTATAACTTTTTGTTGTTATAACAAGGGGTCGGCGAGTCGAAGCCCGATAAATTTTTAGTTTAGTGTAGACGTCGAATAGCATATTCACCGAAGTTTTAACTGGCATAAAGCATAATATTTCTTTAATTAGCCAAACAATAATGAAAATGTTTTAAGTAATAATCAAACTAAAAAAACGAGTTTGCATAACGCCATGACACCCCATGTTTTTTTTTTCTACCACCAAACCATTACCGTTTCTTTTGCAGTTCGAAATTTTTGATTGACCATTTTTAACAGATAAATTAGAATAATTAAACTCTATTTATCGGATAATATGAAATCAACATTTGAGTTAATAAGCGGCGAAAATTAACCGTGAAGAGAGTCGACCACTCTCTAAACGCGTGCATATTATAGCAAATGAGCATTAGCCGCCTCCATATCGCCTACCAAATCTTTTTTTTTGCATTAAAGTTAAGATCTCACCATTATCCTCTACATTTACTCCTCTATTTTAATAGTAATACTTTCTTAACCCCTATATTATAATATACTAAGTTAACTAATTTTAACCTTTTATCATGCGGCTAAAACTACAGCACGAAGAAAAGCCAACCTAACATTTTTTTAATATCATGAATATCCAGTGATTTCTTTTCACCAACGTTTTCAACAGTTAATTTTCTACGTATTAATCATCCCCATAGGCCAGAGGCCAGGGGCGTATATTTAATTAGTTAATTACTCTTACGGTCTTACCTATTTGAAAGAAATTATATCCTAATTTGCTGTTTTCGAATAAAAACAGAGAAATCGTATAATATAATTATAGTATATAATATGTAATAAAAACTATATAGATATGTAGCTGATGTCACTGATTATAATATTCAGAAATTCCAAAACCCTTTACTCTATTCACAAAGTGGAATTCCTCTAGTTTTCCACTTACATTATGCTTGGTCTTAATTGTACTGAATTTACTAAAGATATTTATCATTTTTTTTTGTGTTCCTTGAGAAGGAGGAAGGGTCAAGTGGGAAGTTGCGAATCCTTATTTGAAATTTGGTTAGTGCATATGTTAGTTAAAGCTAACCATTACACACTCTTTTCTTTCAATTGAGTAATCTATAATAAATCAGACTAAACATACATCTGGGCTACTATAGTCCTATATATGTCTCTTCATATATATCTCTTTTAACAAAATTCTTGCAAATGAATTTTTAAAGACTACTGACTATCGGAGTTGAGATTATTTTATATTAAGTTCTTATACCATTCCATATGCATGCACACTTTATAGTGCCGGTGCTTGGATTCTCGTTTTATGTACTATTAATTTGATTTCTCATGCAAACATTTTTGTTTTTCTTCATGCAAACATGTAAGGAACATATATGTTTACGAGTATTGTTTCTGAACAAAATTCGATTTTAGAACATTTAGGATTTGGGACGAACACACGCACACACAAAAACAAAAACAAAAGATAAAAGGAAATTTTATAAATCCATAATTCATGTCCTAAATTTGATGGCGTAATCAAAGTTCATGATGGCCATAATTAATGCTCACAATGCTCACAATGCTTATGACAATGCTCGTTACGTGACAACCCCACTGAGTATGTATGTCACCATTAAGTTGCTTTTTTTTTTTTCTGCTCAAACGATCACTAATTAAGTTGCTAACGATCCACATTAAATGCTTAAATTTGTAATAGTGGCACTAAAAGTTAAAGGTAATTATAGGTTTCAGGAGAAACAAATAACTCACATCAACGTAGCCCTTTTTATTTCTTATTCTATTAATCAGTTCTCCTAAAAATAGAGAAAAGATGCCTCAATAAGTTTACTACAACATGTGTTTTAGTCAGCACTTCACAAATAAATGGCAATATATTATATATATATTATATATATGGCATATATATAAATAACAGATAATTTTATATATATAGCCAAATTTTTCCGGTTGAACAACACATCAGCATTAGAGAGAGCACCACCTATCCTCATCAAATATTAACAAAATAAATAATTAATTATATTTAAAATAAATACATTAAAACACATTAAAAAAACATAAATAAATATTAATATATATTTATATAAGAATAAAATTCAAATTTAATTTAAATCTATAAAAACTTATAAATATTCTATAATATAAAACTTTTTAAATACATAATTTTATTTTCTTTTTTTAAATGTTTAAAACTTCATTTACAAACTAAAAATATAATTAAATTTGTGAAAAAAAATTATGAGACTGAATACGTTAAAAAGTTTCAAATAATCTTATATAAAAATTAAACTAATAAAATTATAAAACACAAAGTATATTTAATAAATGATTAAAAAAATAAAAATTATTCAAAAAAATAATACTAAAATAATATTCACATAAAAATGTCATATATGGTTTTTTTTTAAAATAATAAAAAGAAAAAATCAATAAAAATAATTTTTAATAATAAACATAAAATTCAATACAAATTATTTAAAATATAAATTAAAACAAGATTCGAGCATACGCGTGGGTTTTCTCCTAATTATTATAAAAACGGAACTTTAGAGTAGAACTTTTTTTAATAGTTCTTAAAATGATTCGTTTTGTTTGTGTATGATAACCACGGAATATACGTAAAACCTAAATCTAAAACTTTAAACCTAATAAACATATGGGTGCTTATTAGAATTTTATTGAACATACTAATGTACGTCTATATTTTTTAATATACATTAATTAGTTTCATGGAATATATGTTTATAGATTTTTTCCCTTGACAATATTTTTTTTCATAGTAACAATTGTTAGGCCATTTTTTTCAAAAAAAAAAAACAACTGTTACGCCATTGTACAATGTATTGCACTATTACCTAATAATGTATAGCATTATAAATTCCAGTGCAAAATATTTTTAGTTCTTAATATTCTGAACAGATCAATCTTAATTTCTGAAACCGGACCTGAAAACATTTTGTTCAATTTTGACAATGCTTCATGTGAAAGAAAGTCATAGCTAATGAATAATGATCCTTAGTTA